CTAATTAGCATCAGCGACGCATTGAAGGTGTTTTATTTGCCGGACCGATGCTTGTTAGCAAAGAAACTAATAATAATAATTTCAATTTTCTATATTGTTGAAGTAAATGCAACAAATTGGAAAACAATCAAGAATAGTTGATTAATAAAATACATACAGTACATATAGACTGTTAAGTAGATAGGATAAAAAGACTGCGATGGGAAATCAAAAAATGTATAGCCTGTACGTACATACTCATAGCTGGGAATGGTTCCCGAAGGTATCCCGAAGGTATTCCGAAAGCAACGATTTTATTAGCGGGTGAAAAAGTTCGTTCGGCGAAAAGATGAAAGGTGAACACAGACAACACCTCGGAAGATTAAGATGAAGAAGCACGCTGGAGAAGGATGGGGTCTCGATTCAATAGATATGCTATGCAATTGTGTTGATAATATTCGAATACCCCACTGAAAAGGGTATAAATAAGTGGCGACATTGTGAGAACTGAAATATGTCGGTACATACTATAGGTTTATTTGTGTGTACTGTGAATTGTTTTCAGAAAGCGGGCAACCCGCGGCTTTTGGCACTTGACGTCAGTTTAAACGACACTGCATCGGACGACGATGATCATTGCAATTTATTATTCGTCATCATCGTGCTGGATGCGTGAGTAGCTTGCGGATACTTGACAGTTTTTGAAGCACCTTTTTACGTGTGAAACAACAAACCCAATGCGTCTTACGCAACTGGAGGCGGTGCCATTTGGGGGGTTGTGCTGCTAAAATTTGGTTCAGCAGGCAGTATTGAATATGGATGAGCTCTCTCTATATATGCACACCTGCAACAGTATTTGTGATAATAGATATCATGTGCAACGGTAACACGACCTAACGTAAGTAAGTGCGGCTTGGCAAACCAGTTAATGGATAGACAGCTAGCTGCCACAATCAAAATAAATAGAGACTAATGAAATACAATGAGCTCTGTGTTGTCTGTTGTCTCTGACTATTGGTTGTAGATGGTGAGAACAAGTTTAGCAACTGAAAGGCATCAGGCACATGTATACCAATTATGCACCCATATACGCAAACATCAAGTCGATATGTTTTCTCTGTTCAAAATATATATACATATATATATATATATACATATTAAGTAAACAAACAAACAGCGAAGCTGTTCAGCAAAAGAAAACCAACAGCAGCAACAAGAGTGCTCTAGTCGGGAGGGCCCGACTAGCAAATACCCTGAACTCAGCGAGCTGCCAAGACATATATATATTTACTTCTAACAATATATATTAATTAAAACACGACTCGGTTATTGATGCTGAGCAATAATATATATCTTACCCCAGTTAATGCTTCTTGCAGCCTGTTTCATTAAAACTCAGAATGCTTCATGCTCCTCTCTGCGATTCTCATGATTTGAAGTAAGACACGCATGTTTTCATGCTTCAATTGTTATTGCTGTAATAACATGTTGTGTTGGCAGGCTAATAAACTTTTGACTTCAAGAGTATTAAACGTATATCTATATTTATGCAAAATGCTGGAAAACTAAAACTTAAATGAATTGTTGAACTGTTAGTCACACACAGAAAACTATGCACGATTTAAGTAAGAACAAATATTATTTAATTTTTTTTTTATATTTTTATGTTTTTGTAGGGCTTTTATGGGGCTTCAAGTGATTAGATTCAGATAAGCAGTCGATGCAGCACATTTTACTCAAACAGCAGATAACACAAACTGTTGTTGGCGATCTCGCCTTGCGATATTACGTATCCAATATCTACTGGAACAAATATGATATGCGGCAGCATATTATGACAAATAGATATTTCCCCATTTATTGGCGGCACGAATTTCTATTTCATTTGCGTGTTACTTTATGTAATTCAAAACTAAGTTAGGCTAAAAAGTTACTCAAAGTAAAACCGTTGAAAACATGATATTTAATATGCACGCCGGTGCCGGGGCTTGGGTTGGGGCTGGTGCTGGGGGCTGGGATACGAAAAGTGGCTGCCGCAATCTAATTAAAGTAAACAATAAACGTTCTGGCCACACAAAATTAAGGCAAACAAAACTCGAGTCAAGGAAGCCGCTTGCTCAATCATTATATATGTAAGTTTATATGTGAACTTTCATATATGTGAAAACATATGTTATGTATGTTTGAAATGTGAGAATGAAAGTTTCGTTTGGAATTTGCATGTAAACAAACAGCTGGAATAGTTAAAGACCACGCTTAACTAATGCCCGGAACTTGAGGAATGCCTCAGCCACACCGGCAAATGATGATAGACGGACATTGGACATTGGCAGGCATGCCAGCCAAATGATTATATCTTTTGGGTCATTTACTTGTTTGCCTTGCCTTGGCCAGTCGACTGTTCGACTGTCCGACTGCCTGGCTGCCCGGTTATTCTTGCCAGCACTCTTCAAGCGGAGACGTGTTCCAATTTAGCTAAAAGCCCTCCTGCATAAAGGACAAGAGAACGACTATACAATACCCTCTAGATATCTCCGAGTTATCTCGTGTATATTACAAGCTGCCTATAACATTTGCATAAACCCGTTATACCCTCCTCTTCCACCCCTTTGTACAGGGTGTAAGGGTAAGCAACAAAAGCTTGACAATCCACAGTTCGAACAGTTCATTTGCAGACCCTCTGCCCATATCTGACTCTTTATGCCAGCTGGCAGCTAGTTTGTATTATCATTTGCCAAAAAAAAATATACAAAAAAAAGAAATACAAAAATGTCGCACTTGACATTGGTTTATAGTTGACAACCATTGAGCTATGCTAAACAGATAATATTTGGCAATCCCTTGCAATGAGTCATGCGAGGAGAATCCAAATTGAAATTGATGAAATTTATGAATTTAATAAATTGAATTCTTGACATTATTTAATGTATGTTAATATTATATGTTTAAGTGCTTAAGAGCGGCTGATAAGCGCAAAATGTTGCTCAATGAAAACGGAAAAATCTGCTCGACCTAGAAGAAGAAAGCTGTCACGTACTTGCACTGATAACAGCCATGTTATCACAACAACAACAACAACAACAGCAGCAGCAGCAGCAGCAGCAACAACAGTTACAATAACAGTTACGCCCCTCAACTGTTTGGGTGCGTGTAAACAAATTTGTGTTTGGCAGACAGAGATAGAAAGAGAGAGGGAGAGCGAGAGATGTGAAGACAAAGGACTCACCTGAAACTCTTTGAACTGCTGATGCGTCTGCACGACAATGTGCTTGAAGGAATCGTTCGGTTCGCCAGCGGGTCCAAACACAATAAATACGAGCGTTGCGATTATCACTCCGATTAGTATCAATATTAAATGTTTAGTTCGCATGGCCGCTAGAGTAGATTTTGATTTCGATTTCGATTTATAGGCAATTTTGCGGGCAAAAATGCGCTTCAGTGTGAGCGAGGCCTCCAGTCTGCCGTTATAGACGTTCTCTGCTCGCAAAGTTAACGGCAGAGTTCAATGGATTGAAATAACGGTAAACGCGCGAAAACCATTTTACAGTTTGACGGATAGTTTTTTGTTAGCATTACAAAATTTTCAATTATTTATTTATCTTGGGCTTCTTCGCATTGTTGCCAAACATTTAATCAAAGCAAAATCAATTAAATTAAATAAAACAAATATTGTTTCATGAAGGTCAAACAAAATTAATATTCTTTGCAGTCAATAAAATGCACTTTTAATTCATTTATAGTTTGTTGGTGTTGTTCTTGTTGTTGTTCAATCAAATATATGCAATGCATGCACTGAACTATAAAAAACAACATTAAATGCGGCTAACCAAATGCAGTGTTTTATTGAACAGTCGCTGCAAGCAGTCAGCGGCTGCACAGCGCAATATTGGTATATTTTTGTATGGTTTGTATTGCATTTGTGTATGTATTATATAATCGGTGAACAGTTAACATGTTGATAGTTTTCAGATATTGCCAAAGTAAGTACACTTTTCGGTTGTGTTCGCTAACTTTCGCACATCAGTGTATGTACTCACACAGCAGAATGGTATGCATATGTGTGTGCCTTCACCTTTGTGGGCTGGTTTTATGGCGCACAGCCAAAGCAGCCGCAAGGCGAGCGTTTAATGAATAGACAACCTATTCCTTTGGTGTGTAAGGGGAATGATATTGTTTTCAACTGATTGTGCTCGATTGTTTCAACATACGATCTAATTGGCGCTTAGCAATAGGCGCCCACAATTTTCAATTTAAAGCGTTGCCGCCGGATTCGCTTTGGCGCTTTTGTTGTTGGTATTAATTCTTTAGGTGCAGCTGCATTGCCGGTGCAGCCTCCATAAAACGGGAACCCTCGAAACACACGTAATTTCACACTCACTTATTTGTGCATGCAAACTGTTATATTGCGCTTTTTACATAATTTGTAGTTGTTCTTTTAACTTTCACTTTCTTGAAGCGGCCAGTAAGCAGGGCTGTACGCATCCAACACTTTACCGACGACCGAGCACTACTTTTCGAGTATAAACAAATGAAACTACTCGTTAGCTTGTGATGTGTGCGAAACGATAGTTTTGCCAGCTAATACGCATTTCAGTTTGTACAATCGGTTGTATAAATCAATTATCGATTAGTAACGATAAGTTGAGTAACTCAAAATTTAGGTTTAGTAATTTTAACCTGTTTCTATTGCTTGAATTTGAATATGATAGTTAATAAAAATATTTGGCCATTGGTGAAATTATAATATCAAATTACCAGCTGTTAAATTCGATTTCAAAATTACACCATTATTGTTCTGTAATGTTAAAAAGCGCCAAAAATAATCGTCTTCACTGTTAATAACAGTTCCTTAAAAATGATATGTACATATTGTTGCAGTTCAATCAGCAATTGTGCCCTCACTGACTCTGCCGCCCTGGTCGATTTACGGCTCATGCAACTCTGCTAATGTTCTCACCTTATGAATCAAATCCAATTGGAACTGCGAATATATACTACGTACTTACATACATATTGTGCATACAGATGCACACACATACATGTAGTTGTAATTATTATTAGCCATTTTACGACGAAAACAAACTATTAAATAATAAAAGTTAAGAAAAATAAATGCCAAACATATACAAAAACGAGAACAAGTACTGAAAAAACATATATATACAACGATAAACGCGGAAGCGAAACAACGGGTAAAACAAAACCAAAAAAAAACCTCAAGGAAAACAAAGTGCCAAAACAATCATCGTCCAACAATTTCAAATGCTTTAAGTAACCTCCAAAAAAAAAAAAAAATTAAGATACATTAGAGAACAAGCAAGAGAGAGAGAGAGAGAGGTGAACATTGCAATATGGGCAACGCGGGCAGCTCGTCTGTGCATATGCATCGTGAGCGGCACAAGTCGACGGACCTCTCCACGCCAAGTTCTCCCGCACACTTTCGTGACAGTTTGGGGGCTGGAGCGGCTGGCGGGGGCGGCGGCGCGGGCGCATCAGCTCTGGGCGGCATTGGAGCGGGCGGTGGCGGCGGCGGCGGCAGCCACGGCCAAGCTTTCTCGTTCGATAAAAAACATACGGCAGTCTTAAACGAAGGTTCGTCGCAAGAAGACGACGACGAGTATTACACGAGAGCGGCGGCTAAGCGCACAACAGCTGTTGATAACGATTCAGCCGCAGCAGCAGCAGCAGCTGACAGAGAGAACACCATGGAGGAGAACAACGATGATGAACAGGAACAGGCAACAGGATCAATGCCAACGGGCGGCGATGATTCGGAACAAATGAAAACGGCGCTGCCCACAGTCCTGCGCTGGGATTACGGTGGCAAAAATGTAACCATATCGGGCACCTTCTCCAAATGGAAGCCCATACCGATGGTGCGCAGTCACGGCAATTTTGTGACCATCATTGATCTGCCCGAGGGCGACCATCAATACAAATTCTGTGTGGATGGCGAATGGAAGCACGATCCCAAGCTGGTAAGCTCAACCCGTCTGCGTGTGTGTGTGTGTGTGCCCGTACAGTGGGGTAAAATCGATACGTGATGTTTACACTTGCTGACGACGCACTCGATTTTTCACTAATGCGTTGTGTAATCAGCTCTGGACTGGCTGTAAACAAAGCGGCGCAGCGGCTGTGGATTTGGCGCCGAGAGCTGCTCAGCCGCTGCCGCTGCCGCTGCTCTGAATAATCATAATAATAATAAATGGAAGAAAAGAAAAAAAATCTAATCATGTGCGCAGCGTTCTAATTGCAAAATTGTTTGTCTCGTTCTGACTTGTAGAAAAGCGTGGAAACCGATGACGGCGATAAGAATAATCTGGTGTCGGTGCGACCCTCAGATTTTGAGGTGTTCCAAGCGCTGGCCAAGGATAGCGAGAATGTGCCCAACTATGCGGAAAAGGAGTACTCACAGGAGGTGCCGCAGGTGAAGCCCTGGGAGAAGGTATCCGGACCGCCCGTATTGCCGCCACATCTGCTGCAGGTTATACTCAACAAGGATACACCGCTATCGGTAATATTTTTTATAAATGTTTTATATGTTTTAAAATAATTAAACAATTCCGTTTGTATTCTAGTGCGAGCCCACACTGTTGCCGGAGCCGAATCATGTCATGTTGAACCATTTGTATGCGCTCTCCATCAAGGACGGCGTCATGGTGCTCAGCGCCACGCATCGCTACTGCAAGAAGTATGTGACAACGTTGCTGTACAAGCCGATTTAGGCCAATCCAAATAATACAAAACTCTTAACAATAATCATAAATTAAAAGTAAGCGTTTTTTTTTAAGCTGTAAACTGTTTTCAATTGCTCGCTTTATACAATTTGTGGGTGAAGAGCCCAAGTACATGCGCATATTCTTGTTAAGCGTTGTATTCCTTTTTTTATTAGTTTAAATATATACGGAATTAAAAAATATATATATATATATAGTTTGAATAAGATTATTGTTCTGTGTCAAATAGTTCTTTAGTTTTGTATATAGTATTTGTTTCTTTTGTTTTTCAATTGCGAATTTGCATTTTGTACTCACTAAATTATGAATTATTTTGTAAAGCTTTTCACTGTTCCAATTTGATATGTGACTAAAACGTGTTCTACAATTAATTTGTATAGTTTCTAACAGCTGTCGTCGTATTGTTTGACCAAATATTTTAATTAATTGTTTAGTTAATAACACTTTGGATTTTGTTCAATTTTATATCACAAGTCTTCAGCCGGCGTCCGTTACTGGCAATTGGTCTACACACGCTGTACTTTTTTTTCTTTCTATATATATGTATATAAATATATTTGGGCATATGGGGTCTGTCTAGTAGGTATAGGTTGACGCCCGGTTTTTGCTCGAACTCATCTACATTAGCTTTAGTTTGTGTGGCTCCTGCTGCTCCGCCGCAGGCTTCTCGAGCAGCAGCACACCTCGGGGCACATTGAGACGGGCGGTTAGCTCCACGGTTTGCTTGGCCAAAAAACGTTCATGCATTTTATCCGAGGCACGCTCAAATTCACCATCCTCGTCGTAGAGCGCCTTGCTAAAATACTCGGTAAATATGCGACACATATACTGATCCTTGGTCGATGGCCACCAGCCCTCGAGGAAACCAATGTGGCCGCCACGTGCGGTTATAACAATTGCCACATGTGTACACTGATTGGCCGCCTTAATGGGTATGGCGTCCAGTGGCTGAAATGGATCATCCGCTGCGCTCAGACAAAGCAACGGTACACTAATGTGATCCAATTTATTATGCAGCGTAGCATCCGTATAATAATCATTCACATGGGCATAGCCAAACTGCTTGGCCGTAAACAGCTCGTCGAACTCCTTGATGGTCTTGCACTGGCAATTGATAAAGTTGAGTTGAGTTGAGTTAGTCTTAGTCTAAGGCAAGTCTAATTACTTACACGCAGTATGCGCTGTATGTCAATTTCGGAATCCTGATAGATATCCCTGTAGACCTCCAAATGATTGCGCAGCGTGCGGCACAGGCTGCCGGCCAGATGACGTCCTAACAGATTGTTAATGACGGGCTTCTCGATGCTGGCGCTGCCCTTGTGCACATCCCAAGGCACAGAGATAATCTTGGCCGCCGACAGGTGATCACGCGCCTCATCGCTCTTCCTTGCCAAATAGTTGCCTACACAAAAAGTTAATTAGACCACATCAAATAATTATATGTACTGTCACGCATACCCAGTATCAGGCCACCCATGGATATGCCCGTGGCGCCCAGTTTGCAGTGGGCGGGCAGCGTGCGGCGCACATGTTTCACCACCTCGCACAAATCTTCACAGTTGGCGGCACAATAGAGTCGCGGCGTTTTCAGCTCAATGCCGCCAAGACCTCGATTATTAAAGACAACCACACGCATGCCCGCCTGCTGGGCGGCAAAGACCAGACACTTAATGTATTCCGCCTGCGATTCGCCAGTCAGACCTGGCAATATAAGCACACACGGAGCACGCTCATCGCAGCCCTCCTCCATCCAGTCCAGTGCCACCTCGCCGCCATCCTTCAGGCTGAGTATTTCGCTATGCGGTGCAAGTAGACAAATAAATATCGCCAATTGAATCATATGAATGCATGCATATACATATATGTAAATTTGTTCGCTAATCTAATTGAAAGTATACAGTATAATCAATTGGAGCTGGAAATTGGATTGTACTATGCTTCAGGTCTGTGAACTTGAGATTAATATTAATTAACGCCAGCCTAAAGCTTAGCTTGAGCTCAGAAGGTTTTCATAAACGAGAGATATGCGCTTAAGTAATTAGATATATAGATTACTAAAGTACAGCAGAAGCTGAAATATTTGCTATCCTTATAAAAGATATATCCATATATATATTGAGTTCCAAAGCTGCCTCAGCGCATACATTTGCCATGAGCGCAGGGCATGCAAATCAGTTGATGATTTTCATTTATTATTATGCTAATTATTTGAAGTAATTTGTAGCTATTTGTTTCGTGCCGCTCCAAGACCTTTCGACTTCTGGGTTAACTAAAGGCTATGCAACTTAGAATTTCCATTATATTTTTTGTATTACGAGCTGAAGAAGAACGAATCGCAGCTGCCACTTACCGGCGATAATTGACGCGGGGCAGACTCTTGGAGCGCAGCAGGCTCGCAAGTACGGTCTGAGCACGACTCTCCACGCACCAGAAGGTTGGCCAATACTTGTTCTCCAGCGTGGGCATCGTCTTGATCAGATATTGCTTGAACGGACCATCAGCGCAGGCGATGATCGGCCGCTAAAAACAAATAGAAAACCAAACCAAAATTATTATTGTTTAGTGCAATTACGTAAGAGCAGCCCACTCACCTTCACCACCTGAATGAGGTAGTAGATGACATACGCAAATATGGCCATGCCCAGGGCGTGCAGGCGCGGCAAGTGCGACAGATACGCGTACATGGAGTAGAACATGGTGACTGACGCTGGATCCGTGTGTATTCCGCGCAAAGTCGTTTTGCTACTTTGATCCCAAGCGGGACGGCGACTGCAATTGGATATAACCCGTACAAAATTACAATTTATGACAATAGGCCGCAAAACATATGTATATATATGTACGGAATCGTTGAATGGAACTACACAGTCTTTGTCTGGCACTACTCAGGCTGATACGAGCATGATATATATATATACATACATACGTATGTGCTTATACTATGACTATGAGGCGTATCTTATCGTTGTTATACCCTCGCAACGGGTATGATAATGATGTATACATCTTTGAATCCATATCGTGATCAGTGTCGAACTTTGTTCATCTTATATCCGACATCGGAATTAGGTCTAAAATAGCTTAAGCAATCTCTACAATACGAACGGATCACCATTTCATATCGAGCGATATTTAATTGGTAATATGAAAGTCATGGCCAATGCGTAAGGCTAAGGGTAAGGGTATTTGAAGCTTCGGCTTCGAATAGCCGTTTAGCTTGGAGTATGGGTATTAAGGTGCTTTTGTATGGGTTTTAATTGATAAAGCGGGACATAACTGCTGGCACACGGGCGGACACTCGAACCCAAGCCTTGCGGTGCTAAATGTTATCAAGCCCAGATTGGAGATGACAACGCAGATAATACATATTTTTTTTTTTTGGGGGTTTTTTTCTTTTATATAGGGCTTATCTCTCGCACTCACAGCAGTTCCTGTAGATGTCTTCGTTGTTGTTGTTGTTGTTGCTGCTGCTGCTGGTTGCGAGACAGCTGTTGGGTTAATGCTGTGCTCGCGCTTCTGCTATTGTGACTAATCATAAGCGCGAATCGGCCAATGCTTAGCAATTCATTATTCAGTTTTTGTTTTTGTGACGTCATCGCCGCCGCCTTGAGCGGCAGCTGAACGTACGCGCCAAGCATAATTTCACAACGGTGCAAAAAGAACTTAACTAATGTTTATCACTAGCCAGAGCAACGAGCAACTTTATAAATTCTTTGGTATATATCGTCTACTACTAGATAAAGTATATTGTACACGTTTATTGCCGCCGCGCATAATATAAGGTTCCAATGAAATGAGGGCTTGTGCGCTTACCTTGAAGAAATATACAAAAAGAATAACGAAATTTCAAATATAATTTGGATAATTTTATGTAGGTGTGACACACCCAATTTAAATAAAAATATGATTTGTAAATTTGATTAATTTCCAATGGCTTTTAAAACAACAATGAGCCATGGTTTGTGGTTGCAACCTGGCCGGCGGGTCGCATTCGAAATCAAAAATGGCCGTTGCACACACATACGCGCGCACACACACACACACACATACAACCAATACTTACATATGTATTGAGTATTTGTCTTGGCATCACGTGCAACAACAAAATCAATAGCCACGGCCAAGGGTATGGGATGTGAACCTTTGTGCTATTTATGGTGACAGTGAAGGTGGGTGGTGGTGGTAATTATAGTGCCAATTATGACGCACGCATCTTTGAAATTCATATATTATTTAACTTGCCTTGACAAGTTGTAAAGCAACCGACGCCTTAATTGCTGTTTTCTATCGGAAGCGATTTGTTTTTCTAGTTTATTCGAAATGAACTTTAGTTTCTGCTGTGACAACAATTGAATAAAACAAAAATTACATAATAACAGAATCGATAACAGACATTTTATGAACTTTTTTTACATATAGACTTTGGACAGGATTTAATTGTAGCAAGCTCCAAATGTAAACAATAACAAATGCTGCACATGTAAAAGTAACTGACGTTGTTCAAATGAACTAGATGGTTCGTTCATTTTGCCTAACATCGCTGTGCTGTTGTTAACAGCAGACATAACTTGCTTCTAGAAAAAATCGGTTGATCTATTGCATTTTCAAGAAATACTAAGTAAAATTCAAAGCTCATCTATGAAATTATTAATTTTTAACTAAGGGATGTTTAACCGGCAGTTAGTCAAAGACAATGCCAGGTAGTTAGTGTGCAATTTGAATTTAACAGCTAACTATGCAATCGGATAACAGAAGCACTACAGCACTACAACAGACCATCGCTGTTAACGAACGATAAAACTATATTGTTTTACGTTGCTATGTGAATGCCATCTTTTTCGATAGGCAAATACCAAATTTAAAAACAACACAGCTGACTTAACGTGTATCGAGTATTGAGCATCGGCATCGAGTATAAGTGCAACTGCTGTCGGGGTCGGTTCGTTTGCGTCGCTGCGTTTTATTTTGTTGGTGTTTTTGTCGTTAAAAGTGTTTTTTGATTCGACTTCTTTGCATAAGAATAAGTGTGCCAATCGTATCAATAGAGATTGGGGCCAATTTAGACGCCCAGAATCACAGTTGCAGTGTTCTTTAAATAGTTGAAAAAATCGCAAACGCAATAGCCATTGAAAAACAATGAATATGATTCAATGACGTCGCGAAACCAAATCGTGAATCGTCAAAGCGAAAGAGCAAGCAGAGAAGGGAAAAGTCAAAGTGAACAGCCGCCTGTATATGTTTATGCGGGCTGCTGCTGCTGACACTATATCTCAAATCAAAAGTTAACATATATAAATAACCGAATAGTATCACATTTAAACAAATCCAACATATTAAATTGATTGAAACATGTGCTAAAAACTAATATAAAAAACAAATTCTCCAGATGGGTTCACGTATCAAGTGAGTATTTTGTTCGCTGTCGGAGATTTCCATCTGGGAAAAAATGAAAAAAAATATATAAATATGCAGTGGGCGTAACGCTTGGCTGATCAGAGCGCAACAACTACAGTGAAATTTTTCATCTGCTTCATATTTTTCATATATACTAATAATACATATGTATATTAAATGTTGTCATTTTGACAGAAGCGACGTAAAGAAACTCTTTGAGTTTTGGTGCGAAGTGAAGCCCACACGCGGCATCGATCGTGGCACCGTTAGCCGCAATGGTGGAGCTGCCGCTAAACCCGATGGTATTATTATCGAGAGCTTCCCGGAGGGCTTTCGCGATAAGGAGATGCTCAACACTGGCATCCCATCGTTTGCGTTTCCCTGCGAACTCGAAAGGTGCGTCTGACTGCAATTTGTTACACATTCTTATTACGCATGCCATGTTTCCGGTTATTTGGCATTAGTCATATTCGTACATATAAACAACAGGTAATAGACACAAACGCAACAACAACAACAACATATAGAACCAACGACCGTTTGATGTTCGGCCTGATATTTGCTTTCTGACTGGGTGAATGGTCGCTGACGGCGCTGATGACCAGTGTTGCCAATTTCGGAGCAACGAAAAAAAAAAGGAAGCTGAAAAAAGCTTGGCAAATACAGTGAAAGTTCTAATAACGGCCAGCTTAGTTAAGCAAACATCTTCATTTGTCGCAGTTAAAGTATAGCTAAAGTGAAATTGGAAAATTGTATTAACAGCAAACGGAATTTTAGCCGTAATCTCCCTTAAAAAAAAACCACGATTTGGCAACACTGCCGGATCATGAGTCATGAGCAGCGGCAGCGGCTGCGTCCACTTCATGTTTGTCCATGAATTGTATAACCTGTTGTATAGTTTTGTGTTTGTTTACATATGCGCGCCAGTTTGTAGGGGCAATGGTGAATTATTTCATTCGGATTACGTTGAACGCAATTTATTTTTTCGCACTTTACGCTTGTTGTTTTTTTATAGCAAGTATTTCCTCACTCGGTATCGGTTACATGCATACATACATACGTCAATTGTCTTCAGTTAGTCACGCCGTAAACATTTCTGGTTTTATCTGTGCAGCTGCCTTAAGACTGGGCAACAAGTTGTCTTTAGTGTACCCGCACCCCTCTACCCGTCCCCTAGTTGCAATTGTTATCGCATGGCAAAATACACTGATAAACACAATTTGGGAAATTGAACAAATGCTAGCCTAATGAATCTGATGTTGAAATTCGTTCAAAGTGAAACTAATAATGATTATAAATATTGGCCCAACGCAAAGATCACCAAATAAAAAAAAAAATGGCACATGCATACGCCAAGCACCGTTACGACACACACACACAGCGAAATAACAGCAAAGGCAGCCTCCAGCGCACTCTCTTCATTCATTGACTTTGATTTTTTCATGCACGCTCTCCCGCTCCTCCTCTTCCCTCTTCAGCTGGCTATCATTATTGTAATTAACAGTTATCGGTAAAGTCAATGCACCGACATGTACAGCTGTTGTGAGAGCGAGAGCGCACATCAACTTCCTTGCTTATTTTTGCTGCTGCGATTTTGTCGCTTGCGCCTGTTTAGCATATTTTATTAAATAATGCGCGCATCTAACGACTTTACGTAATCCGACGCCCACAATAAAGCAACAACACGAAATGGGCCGCGAAATGCGAAAGAGCTGCAAAAGAAAAAAAAAAACGGAGGCCAAGCGACGTCGCATTGAAAACGGAGCTCAGTGCGAATAACTGTTGTTGTTGTACATTTTGCTTTTATTCACACATAATCATCAACGCGCACAAATTGTCACACAAAGACACAAAGAAAATGGCAACAAAAGGAAACACCGCTTATCAAATGCTCATATGTACATTTATTCTAAATGTTTGGATGCTAAAAACTCAATGCAGCAGCACATATAATTTTTTTAATTTGTTTTTTTTTTTTTTTTTGTGATTTTATGATTGTTTGGTCCGTCTGCCAAAAGCTTATAATTTGGGTTAAGAGGCAAACGCATAAGAAGAAGCGAAACTTGATCATCAACTTTCCGCGCCAACGGACAAGCGTTAGTCATTCATAAAGCCCCGCTGCGAGTGCGTTCACAATTTGCTGTCTCGCTCTTGCAATGTACAGAAACATACATACATAAAAATATGTACATATACATGCGGCGAAGCGTTTCTTGGGAAACACAACTGTTGCTTGCTGCTGTCAAGGTCATTGGGTTTATGGCATCGCCGAGCGGATGTGCTATAATAATAATGCTATAATTATATCTTTTACACACAACTGCCCAATCCTAAACGCAAACGGACCAACTCAAATATTTAAGTTGCCTCAAGTTCTGCCCGTCTGCTGTCTGCAAGGGGTATTTAATTTTCGGCAAGCCGAAGATAAGTTTCCTTTGGATTTAATTGGTTGGCCGTTTATTTTTATATATGCATATTTCTACTCTATACAGGGGCTCCGTGCAATCCTATTCATTTGTGCACACCACCGGCGATTCCAAGTGGCGTTTCGGCTTCTGTCGACATGATCCCAAGACGGAAACGGCCATGGTGCTGATCACCTATCTGCCGTGGCACGATACCTTCCTCAAGCTGTTGATTGTGCTGGCGGAGTTGAGGCGCACCGATCGGAATGGGTTTCGCACTTTCCTATCGGAGGCCTACAACAGAGGCGTGCCCGATTCGGGTGGCAGTCTAACGGTATTCTATAACAGCGGCCAAAGCGTGAGTACTGAATGCTCAAATATTTACAATTAAATCTGAATAATAAATTTTATTAATTTTCCCTTTAGCATTTTACTTTCGAGCGGCCGTTGCAATTTCAGCTGCCTAGCATACCAGAAAATGTGAGTTTCAACTGATTTTCATTGAATTAAATACTTGAATTGAAAATTATTCTCAATACCTTGCTTGCAGCACAATCTAAATCTGTATTATAACTTTGTGGATCCCAAGGAGATGATCAGCGTATTTGCTGCCATGCTGGCCGAGCGTCGCATTATATTTACATCGAGTCACCTGGATCGTCTATCCTCATGCATACAGGCAGCCAATGCATTCCTATATCCCATGGTCTGGCAGCATATATTTATACCGATCTTGCCCTGGGCGTTTAAGGATTACCTGGGCGCACCCATGCCATATCTAATTGGTGTGCCCAAGCCTGTGCTCGAAACTGTAAATAACACATAATATTTAATATTTTACCATATAAATGATCTGTCTGTTGGGTTTCAGGTTTCCGCCGATGAGCTCGGCGAAGTTGTGATCTTAAACTGTGATACGAAAGTGTTCGAGAGTCCGTTTGATGATGTGCGCGCCCTGCCGCCAGAGATTGTGTCACAGATGAAGAAATACCTGAGTCACACACAGGATCACATTGGAGATCGTGTTTCTAAAATATTTCTGGGCGCATTGGTGCAACTGATTGGCGGCTATCGGGACGCTGTTGAGTTTCACGATACCTGCAAAACGTTCAATCACGACAAATTCATTGAATCTCGGCCCGCACACTTGCGTCCATTTCTAACCAAAATGATGGAGCTACAAATCTTTGCGCAGTTCGTTGACGACAGACTCAAAATGCTTAACAGCGGCCTGGGTTTCTCGGATGAATTTGAACTGGAAACTGTGCGCTATGCGGAGAAGATGAAAAAGCGCGGACGCAACTATGTCTTCCTCAAGCATGTCAAGGACAAGGTGAGCTGCTCAGAGGATGCACCTTTTTCCCACCTTTTTCCTAAGCTCCATAGATGTTAGCTCAATTGCCTTAACCATCCCCTAATCATAGTGCAATTTTTCACATCCAACCATTCCCATCTTTTCTTGGGTTCTATGTGTAATTGTGTATTTATTTATTTTACCTTGGCTTGGAGTGAATACAAGGATTGAGCCCTCTACAGATTTCCGACTACATTTTGTGTGCTGTAATTTTTAAGATATTTTTTGATTTTTTTTTTCGTTATGCTCAACAATATTTTCTTTAATTTAATTTAATCTATTTCGCAGTATAATTTGGGAAAGCGCAATGTTTCGCGAGTGTTTGCCAAGACTTATTAGACTGATTGCCACCGCCCATCACCAAAAAAAAAAAACGAGTAGAATTTCCAAACACACACAAAAACACAAAACACCTTTTTCACAAAATACAAATGTTAGTTTACTTGATTTAATATCCTCTCTCTACTCTCTCTCTCTCTTAACCAACAATTGCACTTAATCCTTGTTTTACGGCAAAACTAAACACTTTTTGATTTTGTAACGAAATAGTGTTATTTAACAAGTTTTTTTTTATTTTTGATGTAGTTTTATGTTTTTGATAGAGATTTTTCGTTTGTGTAATCCCGGACACATTATATATATATGTCCAATGGTTAAAATGTCAAAGCTATGCTGTTCATATTTTAAATAACAGCGCGCTGTAAACTCAGAGCAGCATAGCAGAGGCAAAACATGTTAGTTACCGCGCGTTATTTATTAACAACTGCTTAGCAGAGCCAACAAATGTTAGTAACAGCGCGCCGGAGCTTGACTTTAAAGCGTTAAATGCCATAGACATCTATGTACATAATTAACAAATCCAATTTTTATCTAAGGGAACTCACAAATCCAACAAAAAAAAAAAAAAAAACATACCCTAAATGCACACTTTACTAATACATCGGCATATCTTAACAACCATAAATTGAAATCGTTATTAAAAACAAAAACAACATTTTCAAGCCTCATTGCATTAAAGCCCACATTTATCATCATTGCCATCTTAACAATTAGTATTTAATAGTAGTTTGATTGTAATTTTGTGCTGCTATCCATATTCACATTAAATATGTATATTCATATATATCTCATTTAATATTTGTGCGTTGCGTCTCGCGATCGTGTCTCTCTTTCATGTATCCTGCTTGGAACTCACGTTTGTGCTTCTGTGCTTAATGCTCGTTCTCTGGGTACTTGATCCGATCCTATATACATTTATATACCGTATTATCACCAAATGCGCCTCACTATTGCAGACTAATCCAGCTGTTAAGTCTGCTGTTAAATCGGTGAGTGGTAGCTTTAACTGACTCTTTTAATCAGATTTGGGACTGCTGTGTGGAAGATTGATTTTAATTGCGAATTCCGACTTCCACAGGTCAAGGAGAGCTCGCGTGGCGTTAAGACCGCCTACAAGAAGTGGCGCGACAACGGCAGCCATAACCACAATCCCAACAATCACTTCCATTTCGGGCTGAGCTCGCCGCAACACTCGGATCGTCCGGACGGCAGCAGTACGCTTTACGGCCGTAAGGTGACACATCGTTCGGCGCCCAGTTCGCCGGTGTGCAGCAAGCGCGAGTTGAACTTGAATGGCCAGCAGCAGCAGCCGATGGAGCAGCACATGCTGCAGCTGCCCCCCGGGCAACAGCACCAGCAGCAGCGACGAGCGCCTGTGCCGCTGGCCATGTCCAGCTCGAGCAGCCAGATACCGGCAAATGGTTATGCGTTGGGTGCGCCGCTTAATGCTAATTTTGATCATATTGTGGGTGCGTCTCCTGCTGTTAGCTCGGCAAGCTCGATCTGTTCATCGGAGATGAATCTGTCGCAGGAGCTGCAGAATCATCCGCTCTTTAAAATGCCCGCCGTCGATCGCAGCGTAAGTAGTCTAGTGCGTGAATATGAGAGGCGGCTGCAGCTGCTCTAGCGTCGTGTCGCTTGCCGCTTAATGTTGCAAACTCTCATTATTGTCGCCGATGTTGTTGTCGTTGTTGTTGTTGTTGTTACGTCTGCAAGCAGATATTTATGTTACGTTCATTCTTTTCATTACCTTTTTCATGTTTTTCTTGTGTTGTGTCTCGTCTCGTCTCGCCTCGTTCCGTCTGTCTGTCTGTTTGTTGTCGCCTTGTGTTTGTCTCATCTTCTCGCAACTTGCACCAACACCAACACATCACAAACTTGCAACTGCCACCGCCATCGCCATTTGACACGCAGCTGAAGCCAAACGCTGAGCATCACAGCACGCGCTCACGCAACGGCGCACCGCCGGCACGCCCACCGCCGCCCGTCACGCTGCCGCAACAACCCGCCTCCTACTACAATCATCCGTATGCGCCGAACTGCAACAGCGCTATCGTCAGCAGCTCCATGCATCCGTTAGTTGATTCAAAGCCGCCGAGGCACACGTCAACGCCCACCAAGCCACGGCCGCTTGCCAGCACAGACTCGAGCTTTGATAGTCCACCGGACGTGCAATCGCCGCCCATACCGCCCAGACGTCAGTGCAGCGCCAATGCTGTGGTGGCAGCCACAGCGGCTGCTGTTAGCGCTGGCATCAATCGACTGGAGCGCAATTGCTGGCAGGATGAGTCAAACGATTCGAATATCTCGTCATCAGGATCAGGATCGGCGTCGTCAACGTCATCGTCCAGCTCGTCCTGTTCGTCGGCCGCTTCGTTTGTTACGGCCGCCTCCAGATTCTCGCAGCTGAATGTATCATCGCCGCTCAGCTCCGACTCGGCGCCAATACCAACGCCGCGGGCCAAGAGAGAGGTACAACAACAAGCTGCGCTGTCTAGTTAACTAAGAAATATCCTGGTTGCGGTTCCACATCTCACATACTAATACATCCAGCTGCCACACACACACCTCCCCCCGAACAGCCCTTTCTCTCAACTAACCATGGACCCAGTAGCCTTGCGACTAATCCGCTTGCATTTGCCTGCCATTGTAGTTGACTAATCCAAGCGTAGATTTTGTAGCCTACAGAGAGTTATTTGCTTAACTAATCTATCCTATTTGTGTCTACTCCCTGCACAGTCACCGCGCAGCAGCAATAGCAGCAGCAATGCCCAACCACGCCCGGAGGACAGCATGAACGATCTGATATCGCTGGACGATAGCAACAATACCAGCTTTGATCTGGAGGATTTCGATCCGTTAAATCAGAATGCACGCCCGCTGCCGCCGCTGGGCAGAAACTTCAACAGCAACCACAAGTCCAAGTCGAGCACTCTGCCAGTCGGCGTCAACAGCAGCAGCGTGCTCAGCCAGGCCAACAATAGTGTCAACAATCCGCTCTATCCCTACTTTGCGCCCAAGCACATGGCCACCGTTGCGGCTGTTACGAGTCGCGTGGCGCCGACGCAAATCCAACGAAGCAGCGGCGGCGGGGGACTCGCAGCCAAGCCGCCAGATGATGACTTTGAGCTGTTGCGCAAATACGGATTGGATCAGTTCTCGCTGAATGGGGCCACGGCAACAGCTGGAGGCGCCAATGCAAAGTCAGCACTGACCGCGGGCGCAGGCGCTGGCAAGGGCATGAACAACTGGACGACCTTTGATTAGAGTGAGGCGCCAACAGCTAGCTGGAAAATATACCAAAATAAGTGTGATTAGGTTTAGGATTCGTATTGTATATAGCTAGACGTAGGCACGATATGTTACCAGACAAAACCTTAAATATTATTATTATGCTAGTTATAGTGCGAGAACAACAACAAAACAGCTTGTGTTAACTATTAGCGGCTTGGCTTATCAAAAAAACAAAAAACACAAAAGAAATGTATAAGCAACAAATTTACGAGCAACTATTTAAAGAAGATATAAGCAAATACAAATACGTTTGACTTCCAAATCAAAAAGACACAAAGCATTAGCATAGTGAGAATTTAATCCAATTAGCTTAACAAATCAATTATAAATTCTATTTAAAAAATATACATATATATAAAAACAGAAAAAACTTTGATGTCGATCAGTTCTATGGACCTCCACGAGTTCAACGCCCTCAAAATTTCCGGGATCGGGCTTTATTTGACCGAGATATAGGCATTTACAAATTTAACAAAAAAAAAATTTTAATTCATCTACCTGCTGGGCATTTCTGTTCGCCTGGTACTTCAGCCGAATTTTCGGTGAAATCTGGGCACTCAGCTGCTCGTCAGCACGCCCCGTGTGGGTATGCAATGAAATTTTGTTTTCACAAAAATTTTAGTTCGTCTACCTGCTGGGCATTTCTGTTCGCCTGGTACTTTTGCCAAATTTGCGTCCAAGCCTGACGCCCCCCCAGCTTAGCGGCAGCTGTTAACAGTGGTATGTTAACTAACAGATGATTAACAGCAACATGTTAACTAACAGCTGTGCTGCTGTTAACGAACAGTGGACTGTTAAGGAACTTGCAAGTCATCAATTCTGCACCTTGTGGGTATGCAACGAAATTTTTTTTTAAAATAAAATTTTCTGTGCATCTACCTGCTGGCCATTGCTGTTCGCCTGGTATTTCAGCTGAATTTTGATATGAAAAATGTGAACCCAACGGCCGGGGCACAGTGCCAAGGCATTTTGCGAACGTTAATTTTTAAACCCAAATTTAATTGTGGATAAAGCTTTCAAGCGAATTTTGCTGGAATTTGGAACTGTAGGTTCACTAGGACTATATCAATGGTATGGTATAACCAAGGATTTGTGGGTCAACTAGGAACCATACAGGTAGAAGGAGAAGGCTAAAAGAAACGCACGCATATTCATATTTCTGAACCAATACCGAGAACATTTTTCATTATGATAACACCAAGGATATGTGCGTCAACTAGGAACCATCGGTTTCTTGTCCAAATTAAGTCCGATCCCGGGCAGATTGGGCGTGTGGAGGTTAAGATTTTTGAATTTTGGAATTTTATTTTGCAGATCTGTTCTCGGCCATGCGGTTTTCTATGCGCTGCTGCAGAGCCTGAGCCCCCTTCAGGTTAATCTCCTCGTAGTCGGGCAGCAGCTGCTGCATGCGCTGCAGCCAGTTGGCAATTTTGGGATAACGCTCTCGATCCACGGGCAGCATCAGATCCAATGTGATCAGTGTGGTATTTATGGAAATATCCGCCACGCTCAGCTCATTGCCCACAACAAAGCTGCCCTGCTCCAGGAAGTGCTCCAGCGTAGCGTAAGCATTCTGGCACAATTGCACAGAGCATGCATTGTACTCCAATTCGCCACCGTATAGATTGCGCGCCACAATGTCCTTGATCACCGGAAAGAGCACGCCATTCTCGTAGTACAGGCGATGATCAATGTGAGCGCGACGCTTCAGATCCTTCGCGTAGAGCTGATCGGTCTTGGCATATTTGGCAACCATGAAGCAAACGATGGCATGACTGAAAAATAAATATATATGCATCAAAAGCGATTTGGAAAGCGGTTTTAAGGGTACACAAACCTGTCCACATACACCTCACCATCGGTGTCCACGAAAACGGGTATCTGATGCTCCGGATTTAGCTGCAAAGGCAATTATTTGAGACGATATATTAGCTATAGCTAGATGCCGTGTACGATGTGCCGGGAGCATCCCACAAATTATGTACAAACTTTAATAAACTCGTCGCTCAAATGCTCCCTTTTCGAAAAGTCAACGGCCCTGTGAGAAGGAAAATATGTCAAGTGAAAGGCATGGAAATGTGATTGATCTTGCACTCACCTAAGCTCCACATCCAGGCCAATTAATGTGGCTGTCAGAATGCAGGCCCTTGCTGGGGGGCTGAAGAGTGCGTAATATAATATAGGCTTTTGAGACATAATGAAGAGAATTGGCAAAAGCGCAGCTTTTGTTAAATGATAAAGGCAAACGAACTGAGCACACTAAAAAAAATGCAAAAAAAAAAAAAAGTTATTTAATTTGCGCTGGTCACACTGCATAACGAACTGCCAACTGCTTGCAAATAAAAATCGAAATGAGTGGCAGCACTCGCACAACCCAGCTGTGTTTAGCCGGTATTTTTGTAACGGAAAATAACGTTTTTTTTTTTTTTTTGCATTTTGAACTTCACAATTGTAATACATTTAAATATGTATTGTTTATTTTCAATTTACTTTGCACTTAACTTAAGTTTTTAAACAACGAACAGTACATAAATTACTTTTGCGGATGTCAAGTTGTTGGGCCCAAAATGATATATTAAGAATTAGATTGAAGTGGATTGCATAAGAATCTTTGGAGATTTGTCGCCTGTTGAATGTGTACGCTTACGGCGAGTCTGAAAGTTCAATGACAGAAGATTCTTTCTTTTCCATGTCAGCTTCATCTTCATCTGCAAAATAGAAAACAATTTTCGTATATAAAACAATTCAAAATCGAAATCGAAAAATAATAACTCTCAAAATGTGCAAAAGAACTCAAATGTTAATATTAAAACGAGAAAGTCATAGACTATGGAATATTAAACGGTTGTTGACAATAAATAAAACACACATGGCTTGTTTGAAAATATTGTTTAGCTTTAATTTGCAGATTATATTTGACTTATACATGATGTATTCATATTCCCCGCATGCAATAAATGGTTCAATGCGATTTATTGTTTCAAACAAAAATCGTTTTAGCGCGTGTCTTATTCAGTTTTCCTATATGGGCTATAAAGGTAAAAGTCGATCAAATTGCTTTTGGTCATTCGCAGAGACATAAATATCGTTTTGTACATGTGTCTGTGTGTGTGTGTGTGTGCGTGTGTTTATTCAAATTGTGCGATTTTGAATGGATATAACATATGTGGTCCTATAAAATCAGCTTTGAACCGCCTTAAAATAGTAATCCAGAGTGCCTAAATAAATAATTACAAAGATGAAGCGATTTAATATACGATATTTATTATTGAGTGAAGTTTATATCTTATTTGTTTTCCAGTTTTTGCATCACTTTTTTCATTCTTTTCCAAAAATCAAAAAGAGATGATATAAATACATACATATAATATACGTAAAGTAATAAAATAAACTGAAATTGGGTATTGTTGAATGTTTCCCTTTGTGTGTGTGTGTGTGTTTCTTTTTTATTAAGCAAACGATTTAAAACTCGAGCCGAATGCCAACAAAAATGGGAAAAACTTTTGATAACTTAACTGCTAAAATATGCACGAAATATAACTTAAAATCGATGCGATTCTTGTTCCACTCCGTTTGCTTTTCTATATGAATTAGGAATAATTGTAAAGAGACTTAAACATTAACATTTGATTTATGTTTATTATTACGCTATTGTTTAATGTATAGTTCTATTTGTTTCTGTGTATTTTCTTCTTTTCTTTTTTTAACTAAAAATACATATTACGAAGTGTTGGTTGACGCCAAAAAAAAATAAACAACCCAATAAATAAATTAATTATGTGTTGCAAAACGTAGTTTGTTGTGTTTACTATGTGTGTGTGCGCGTGTGTGTGTGGGTGGGTGGGTGGAGGTATGTTTGTGTGTATTAATTAATCGAGGCAAGCACAACACACAGTTAAATTAAGAAGAGAAGAATAACATATATAAACGGAAGCGATAACAAATATAATATTAAGTGTAGAGGCCTGAAATAAATTGAATACGAAGGGTAATCAAAACAATATAAATAATAGAATTATAGAAAATTAGAAACAGCAACAAACAGGCAGCAACTATTTTGAGCGGTTTTCGAACGAGACACAAAAATATGTTATTCGCTTTTGAAACTTTATCGAACCCTACATCGAGTTGCAAGTATTCTGATAAAGATTGTGTGTTATAATCGGTGCGATTTATCGTAAAAAAATAGTTGAGAAATGCCGCCGGAAGAGAGAGAGATTCTCCAGCACCAAGGAGAAAGAGCACACGGCAAAAATGCTTTTAAAATGTATGTGAACATGAAAATGTCAGTTAAATAGCCTCTGATACTCGGCATATACATGTATATAGATGGGTGTGTGTGTGTGTGTGTGTGTGTGTGTGGGATTAAATGCCAGCAAAGGAAACGAGCGAAAGTGGGCAACAAAACGAAAGCAAAGCCAACGAAAACAAAACCAAAGCATAACATGTAAAAAGCACAATCTTGTGTGTGTGTGTGTGTGAAACTGTTTACAATTGTTACATATATGTGCGAGTGTGTGTCTGTGTGTGTGTGTCTATGGAGCTGTATTTGGATTCTGCGCTGAGGCAGACGCCGTGGCAGCAGCAGCGGCCGCCACTGCAGCCAGATCCAAGAGTTGAAAATGCTTTTGATCCGCTACTGCAGCGGCGAGAGACTCCAATAGACTGGCATGCATTGCAGCCGTTGGCTGATCCCCAACCAAAAGATGTTGTTGTAGCGTTTCAGGCGACGGCATCGCTTGCTGTGTTTGCTGCTCGGGGGAATCTTTCGTAGAGTCGATGGTCGAAAAAAATGCAGAGAAGAGAAGAGAATAGAATATACATATATTTACAAATATATATATAAAGAGAGCGTGTGAGAGAGGAGAGAGAAAATAGAAACAGAGAGATGGAGAGAGAGTTGCACAAGTTACTACAAAACTTTAAATTGTATATATTCATATATATGTTTATATATATATAAATATGTTTATGTAAAAGTTATTTTCTGTGTGGCCACAGTTTTGGATTTGGGCAACAATAAGAAAACTTAATTATATTTCAAAGAGAGTACACTTGTATGTTTGCTGACAATAAAATAAATATAATTAAATCGGAAACGCATAAAATTTAAACAAATCTATGTAAACACAGTTAGACAATGGGACGAACAGTTAACTGTTGCACAAAAACAAATAATCGAAAACATTTGAAGTTAACATTGAATTCATGTATATATATATATATAAATGTGTTCGAAGTGTTC